TACTTGCTGACCTGGAATACAAAAGGGTGTGACCACAAGACAGTCAATTTTCTTAGCAGATAATGTTAAATGATGCGTTTGCTTCTGACTGCTTTTAAAAGTTCAGAGTGGTTGACTTATTTCAGCTGTCCACACACAGCAGAGGAATGTGGGAATCAAAGACCCATGCTGGGGAGAGTACTGTGATGGAATGGCTGTGAAGAAATCTGTGGTCACAAGGTGATCTGGGTTGTGCACTGAGGTTTGTCATACACTTGTAAGAAAGTTACAAGGCAGAGGTGAAAGTTTTTCAATCACAGAACATCACGCTGCTGCTATTCCTTCATGTGGGAAATTTGGGATCTAGTTCATAAAAGTACCAAACTCTGCTTGTGCAGTGAAAGCAGCAAAAGACCATTAGTGGGGCTGCAGTTATTTTAGTACTGAAGTGCCCTGGCTTCAGTGCAGTTTTTACTTTACATAGGCTATTTATCAAGGTTTTATTGATCTTTAATGCAAATACAGTAGTTGGCATAGAATTGGGCTCCATGACCCTTATGGGACCCTCCCAACTCAAGGTTTTCTATGATTCCATGATTAGCACAATAGTCATATTCTGATACTGGTTATTCCTCTTTCTGTAGAAGAACCATCTGCAATGCTCTGACATCTGTATCACATCATAACTGTTAATTCTAGACAGCTGACAAAAACATTACCTTAATGAAGTAAATATTCCAGTATAAAATTTTAGTGTAAACTAGGCTTGGAAAGTGTTGGGATACATCCAAACAAAAGCTTCTTAATGCTGAGTTAAGGACAACAGCCTGTACATTCCATTGGTGCAAGCCATAAGTAGCCAAAAAGCAAGCAGTTAAGGCAACAGCTCACTCACCAGTTCCCCTTCCTAGCTGTACCTACTTCCTTTCCATCACTTAAAGTTCTCATGTCACTTAACTCATTCTGAGCACCCAAAGCACAGTTTGGCATCTGGCTGCACATTTGTTACATCAGCACACACATCCTCATTTCGTTTCCCTAATTCCTGTATTAAAATTTAGTATAAGATTAAGACAAATAACTAAATCCACAGACTTACTGTCGTATTTTCTAACCAGTTCAAGGAAACCAAGCATGTCTCACAGCAGACACCTGCAGGCTGGCAGAATTCCTTGCTGCCACACACCAGCACCGAACCACAAAACATTGTACGTAGCACTTGGAAACCACCTTGAACACATGGAGATCATCAGACCATGTCATAAGACCGTCAGACAACTGGATCTGAGCTCCAGGCTGACGCTGCTTACTCAGTGGGGATGGATTGTGGTCAGGGGGATTAAAGGAACTGGGGTTTAGAAGGGAGAACTGATAATTGGTGTGCAGAAAAGCAGAGTGACTCATATGCTAAATCTTGTGCTTTCTACAGAATAAACCGTGCAATAGAGGAAGCCTGGGTTGAGGATAACAGTGATTTGTGAATAGTTGTCATCTTTCATTCATATGGGTACGAGTAACACATGACATTACTTGTTAGGAGCACTGAAGAACCTAGAGGTGACTGGCACTGTCCCAAGCAAGGTAGATTTTTCATTCTTATAAAATAATCTACTTTGAATTTAAAGTGTCAGCCTCACAGTTTTGGTGTGCACCTGAAAGACCACCTTGATAACTCCCAGTTTAACATTGCAAAACCAAGTGACTCAGTGAAGGAAATGGAGAGGTTGAGGCTGCCCCTCCAGCTCTGCTTTGCTACCTTCCCTTCCCCCATAATGTGCTCTGTGGTGCAGTCATGCAGGTGGTGTCTTGTCTTGTCCCGCAGAAGTACATCGAGATGAACAGCAGGGCCCAGCTTTTTGGTACTTGTTCAGTCTTAGTCTTGCATTGCTGCACACCTTCCAGGCCTGTCATGAAGACAGGTAATAGTTTCATCGTGGGTTTTCCAGGGATAGGTATCACCATATCATCCACGCATCTGCACGCCATGACATTCCACCAGGAGGCAGAAGACCCTCAGAGCTGTGGGTGCACAGGTATGACTGTGGAAGTATGAAGATAGGAGACAAAAGTCAAAAACACCCAGGTTTTGTCAACTCTCTTCACATTCCTGCTGGACAGGGCCAGTGCTCTTCCTGTTACATCACTGCCTGGGCCAAACTTCCTTTCCCTGCAGCCCTCTTCCACCATTGCACATCTTGTACCTCCCACAGAGAGGCAAGACTCTTCCAGACAAGTCTCCCCTGTTCCTTTAGACGCTTCCACTTAGTGCATTGATCAAAAAAAGAATTTCAGATAGGGAAAAACACCAAGTGGCTTTGTGGTTATTACTGTGACTAGCTAATTTCTGCAAGGTGTCCTGTGGCTGAGGTGAAGCAGCAAAGGGCCATGTGGCAGAGCTCCCCAACCACACAACACAAAGGAAGGCTGAGAACATCTCTCTGTCCCACCTGTCCCCACTGTTAACAGCGCGTAATCTTTACAAAGGTCTAGATGATGGAAGCCTCTGGTGGAAGGTGACATACTTCCAAAGATCATTAATTCACAAAATCAGACAGAATAGTGGGAATTCTGAAAAGGGAAACATTTTTTTTTAAAAAAGGCACTGAACTCAAACTCACAGCTCCTCATCTTCCAGACTTTCCAAGCGTCAAGTCACCCTTGGCTCTGGCTGTTTCAAGACCGCATGAGTCATATCCTTGCTAACTGGAAGCCTTAAATGAGTTTGTTCAGCATTCTTCACGACGGAAGGAAGTTATTTAGCAATGACAGAAAATGGAAAGCACAGGTCTTGTTTTTATTTTAAACCCATGCACTTCACTGTGCCTTAAGTGGCTTGCAGCAAATGCATTTACCATGGTAGTGGCATGCTTACTTTTGCTAACCTGAATAACCTGGATAACAGCAAGAAATACACTTTGTCTGCAATACAACTGCAGTTCTCACAGGTTGTAGTCCCATGTTATAAAACCGAACCTTTCATTGGTACTTGGTTTCAAAAAGTGGCTTCTAAGTTTTTGAACTTCTAAACCCATCTTTGAAATAATTGCATAAAACTTGTTTTTATAGTGTGATAGATACAACAGGACCTAACATGCAGACCACTTCAACCAGGGCACAAACCATATTGTCTACGTGGAAAATACAGGATCAGTGTGGTAAATGGTTTATTAAAAACTCTAATTTCAGCTATTTAGTCAGCAGAGCTCCACTGTATCTAGAGAAAAACTCAGCATGTCCAAATCGGAGACTTACTGAATGTAAAAATATTTTTCACTATTACGCTCTTGATAAACAAATTAAGAGATGGACGATAGATACAGCAGTTACCTCTCAGAAGGTTGTTCTAGCTACCTTTACTCTTTTCAACACATGGATGATTTTCTGCAATATGTTGACTGTGCCACATTTTAATTTAACTTGCCTATGAATATTTTTGGAAAATTCAATTTCCCTACCTTCCTGCCTTTGAATCCCACCTCCCCCAATTTTTTTTTAAAGATAATTTTCAAGAGACACTAATTTTTCATCCTTGGTACTTCTATATCAGTTTTACTCATTTGTATTGCGATACAATTTCTCTGAGCTCCTGCCCTTAGGCACATGAGCATGCATGCAGGAAAATACGTTCATACAAAGCTGTTATTTTTATACTTTAACCATAACTAAAAGTAGGAGGAAAATTTGCTTGCACATAGCTGTAGTCCAAGTTGAATATAAATCTTTCACTTAAATTAGTTTGGGATGTTTTAAGAATGTCATATTTATCCAGGCTTGTAGGCTGGACCATATCGAAAATTTGGCATCTGCACATCTGTAAAATATTTCTTGAATTCTTCTATACTGGTCAGTACCTACAGGTTAGGAAAAACATATTCCCTGACTATTCTCAAAGTGCTGATTGGCACAAATGAGGCCCAGCTTTCCTGCTTCACCTGACTGTGGCTCTCTCTCAGGTTTTTCTCCCAGCATATGGTCTGTAATTTTTCTGATATCTAAAGCATAGTGACTGTGCTTAAATGGAAAATTTCAACGTGAACATAGTTATTTGTAAGTAAAGGTCTGCTGTCTGATCCATTTGCATACAAAGACAGTCTGTCAACAAACTAATTTTATGTACTTTATATGGTTTTCAATGAATTCACTGAAATCATCTGATGGCACGATATTTTCAAGGCTAGATGGAAAAACCTTTGACTAAAATGGCAAACTATTTTAAAATGAGAATTCTCTTGTTCAAAACACACAAACACAGGCAAAAAGGGGTAATTCTAGCTTCTAGTGGTGTTCTGTGCTCAAAGCAAAGCTTTCATTTCTCTTCAAGTTATGTTTCCCAACAGTGCAAACTCAAACAAGACATTTCCAGCACTTCCAGGCCTAATATTCCAATCGTTTTTTATTAACTATGTTGTTTTTTTTTTTTTCCTTCAACTATCCACAAGGTACAGTGAAAATTGGATCCTCAGATAATAAGAGGAATAAATACAGTGTTACACTGCTCAGGGAGCATTCCAGTGGGAAGCACATGCCTCAAGAGTGGTGATTTCCCAGGTACAGGAGGAAGCAGTGCCAAGTTTGGATGCTGACACTGCCCTGGTGGCTCAGGAGGAGAAGTGGAAAAAAGGTTGTCCTCTCCTCCTACCTCTTCATGCTCTCCTGCTGCAGTGCCAGGTGCTTGGAGTAACACAGAGCCAGTTTTCCCACCTGTGCTGCAGGGAATACTGCAGGCAATTAGCACAGATAAATTACAGGCAGCTTGTAATTCTTTTTTTGTCCACTTCACTGCCAGGAATTGTTCTGATTAACATGAAATTCCATTTTCATGATAGACTAATGATAATAATCAAAGCTAAAGTCCTGGTGCAAATCTTAAGTTCATAGTTTTCAATTTCTAAGACACAGTACTAATAACATATTAAGTTGAATTTGAAGCTCATGAAGATGTAACAAGCTCTATCTAAGAAGCAGAGTTTAGAATACAGGGTGATTTGAGAACATTCAGAACATAAAAGGGCTTTTCTGCATCCACTTTTAATGAAAAAACTGCTCTATGAATAGAAATGGAAGTGTAATGAAGATTTTTAAGTTGATCTAAGAAAATACAGGGATAAATAGAGCAAGTAAAACTGACATTTTACTTCCCAGTTATTTGTGTATCACAGAACTCCTGTCCCTACTTACAACCACTTATGCTTCAAAATAGACCAGAAATTAAGAACAAAAGATCCTTACAATAATTTTACTGACATAGTCTCAGTTGAAACTATGATGAAATTATGATTCTTGTATTAATTTTTCATTTCTTGCATGCCTAAAAGTACAATAAACAGACACTCAAGTAATCTTTACACTTAAGGAAGGAAAGTTTCCATCTATTTCCTTTTAATTTTATAACTTGCAAATTATCACTGCAGTCCACTTGTTTGATAAAAATGATTTTGTTACTTCAATTTTTAATGTGCAGTTTTTCAGATTTTATACAACAGTGTGAAGTTGACATGAAGTATAGTTTTTACTAGTAAGGAGATCTGCTTCAAAATAACTTCCAAACACTTTATGCATGAAGAAAATAATTTAAAAAGAATTTACCAAACTAAAATTAACATACATGTATTCCATATATTAACATTGTCCCAGTCCTTAGTATGATCCAAATTTCCAACACAGAGACTATTTATATAATTTTCTAGTGTGTCCATATCTTCTTAAATTGGAAGAAATATGTTTAGAAAAGAAACCTGATCCACTAGAACATATAATGGGGATAGATTAACTTCAATTATGTTACTTGAAATAAAACATTCATTATATAATGGATGAAATATCCATTATATTAAGCTACTGGGTGGCAAGTATTAAACCAAATTCAGACTTCTATGTACTCTGTAGTAAAGTGTTGCAACATATTAAACAGATCTTTATTTTAAAATCTCTTTCCAGCACAGGACCATTCCTGTATGAGCTGCCTCCCATGAGCTAGTTGGGAGTTATGAGGAGCCCTGTCTTTTTTGGTACTGTATCCTGAGCTTTTCCAGTTGCTCCACGCACTGCGTCTGGGCCAGCTTCAGTGTCCGGTTCTCCTCTGTCAGTTCTGCATACTCCTTAGCCAGCCGAGCAGCATCCATGCTTTCCTTTTCCACTTGTTCCAGTCTGGCAATCAGCTCCTTTCTGACGATTATGAAAAAAACCCCAATTATTAGAAATGGCAGTAGGCAAAAATTTATTGTCCTGTGTTTTGTGTTGTTAACTTACTTTTTAGTACTTGAACTTGTGTGAAACAAGGACCTAAAAGATTAATTTTTTAGAGTCCTGTTTTTTCCTTTTAAAAGACTAAGCTTCCAAAATCTCAGATTGGTTTGCTGTTCAGTGACCAAGCCTGAAAAATGCTGTGTTCATGCGTCTGTATTTGGGACTGTTCAGCAGATGAGAAGGCTTTGGAGAGACCTTAGAGCCGCTTCCAGTACCAAAAGGGGCTCCAACAGAGCTGGAGAGGGACTCCTGACACAGGTGACGAGACAAGGGAATGGCATCAAACTGAAAGAGAGCAGGAAATGGGATATTGGGAAGAAATTCTTCCCTCTGAGGGTGTTGAGGCCCTGGCACAGGTTGCCCAGAAAACCTGTGGCTGCCCCATCCCTGGAAGTGTTCAAGGCCAGGTTGGATGCGGCTTGGAGCAACCTGGTCTAGTGCAAGGTGTCCCTGCCCATGGCAGGGGATTGGAACTGGGTGAGTTTTAAGGTCCCTTCCAATCAAAACTATTCTACTGATTGTATGATTCTGTGATGTATAGCTTCAGTAAGATCTGAGCACACAATTCACGGTGGAAAATCAAGTTCCTAGAGATGACTTGTTAATACTTTGCCAGAAGAATAACAATTTATTTTTCTCTTGATACCAGGTATCACTGAAAGAGAGCGAGGTGTTTTTGTTTGTTTGGTTGGATTTATCAATAAGTTCTGTGAGGTGTGCCTGGTTTCCTTTTCTCTACTATAAACAAATCAGTAAGTAGTAGGCACTGAATCTGAGCTACATGTATTGTTTCTATAACGTGTTTAGGCTCAGATCTTAAGCCCTGTTGCTGAGGAAGAGCTGCAAACCTGACCCCTCCTGGTCCTCTTAAGCACAGACACGAGGATTTGAGCTGTGACTTCTGGATGGAGTCACACAGTGCCCTGTATTCCCAGAGCTGGCCAGGTGCTGGAGTTTCCTGTACAGTATCAACTGAAATTACCTCAGCACAAGTTAAGATAAAAGAAGTCTTAAAACACACTGAAGGCATGAGTAACTCACAGAGTATCTAATTGCTCTCCCCTTAGTCACCCACCAGGCTAGCATGGCCTCTGGGTTTCTTTTTCCCTTTAAGTCAAAAATTCACCCATTACAGGAAGTTTCTTCTAAAAGGTTCTTTTGATCATTCTGTCTCAGAGATTAGTTAATCTTTTAACTGTTCATAGCCCTGTGACTTTATTTCTCAGTCATGTCAAAACAGTGCTTGTAGATCATCAGTAGGAATTTGTTAATGCCTTCATAGTGGATAGATTTCACTGCAGTCCTTAAAGGAGCCCACTGGTCAGGCTAGACCAGTGCTTTCAGACAGGAAATTCCTAGAGATCTGCAATTCTATTCCCACAGGTCAGAGTATTCATGAAAAGATAACATTTCTGTTTTGCTGATCACCTGTGTTATTCGTAGCTGAAAAGCTACCATGTAGAGCAGCAAAACTGTAAATCTGGCTTTTGAAAAGCACTTCTGTGTGGCCTTCATTTAGGATCAAGTTAACCTTTCTCTGTCTTTACTGCAGCTTTCAGTGATAGCAGAGTTTGCCCATGGTTTAGTTGACTGTTTACAGTCACAGTTACTGCAGTTCAAGGAGTCACAAGTTAGAACAGATCCTTGGTACAGCCATTTCTACCAGCTGTGCTTCCCATTGATTGAAAAAAAAAAAAAAAAAAGAGCAGCTGTTACAGAATTTTTAAATCAGCCAGAGAGGCAGCATATAGGCATCCTCCTATATGAGAGCTCTGTTTTATACTGCTGAGGTAAGGCAGAGCAGTTATGCTGCAGCAAACCTCTTCTTTTTCTTTACACCAGGTGACGCTCTGTTTTATACTGCTGAGGTAAGGCAGAGCAGTTATGCTGCAGCAAAGCCTCTTCTTTTTCTTTACATCAGGTGACAGGTGCATTCAACCAGGCCTTTGAGAGGAAACATCATGAGGGTATTTTTGCTCAGTAGAATTCTGTTTACATTTAGCACAATACAGCTGTACAAGTTTTAAACACAGCAAGCCACTAACAGGTTCATTTCTCTGTGGCTGGGCCATTCTAGATCAACCTGTTTTCACAGAAGTCGAGACAATCTTGCTAGACAGCTCCTATTCATGGGCCTGAGGCCATGGAAGACTGATTTCACATGAGAAATACATTCAGGGACAATGAGTTTTTACAACTCCAGATGTTTGGGGGGTTTTTTGGTTTATTGTTTGTTTGTTTGTTTGTTTTTTTGTTTCTCCCTGGACTTCCTCTGGAAGACTTTTATCTCTGGAGACCAAGTAAGAACTTCTGCAATATTTTTTTGCAATATTTCTCTGGTGCAATGTTGGACTAAAGGGCTAAATTAAGCTCTCTCAAATTACAGACTGTTAAATCAGAAGTGTCCAAACAAATGATTTCAGAATCATTCTTCCTTACTTTTCTTACACTCATGAGCTTTTTGAAAGGGAGATGCAGTGAACACACTACTAGGTAATCAGCATCTTACAAGCAGGTAAACCTTTTCTGTGGGAACTTCCAGTACTTGAAAAGGAACAGTACTGACTGTCTTGGACTTGAGCCAGGAGAGGCACAGACAGACAATGTGCAAACTCAGACAGCTTTAGTAATGAAGGTCAGTTCTGATTTGATGACATTGTCTGCAGGCCTGGCTTTCATGCTGCTCTCCAGTAATACTCAAACAGCACAGATAACTTCCCTCCCCCCTCCCCAGGATTCAGATTTGCTATCAAACAAACTATAAATGCATTAAGATCAAAATACACTCATTGCTGTAGTCCACACTCTTGGACCTCCCTCACAGAAAGCAGTTTCCTTGCACTGAGGTAGTAAAATTGCCCACTTCTGAGTCAGCAGAACCTACTTAGTCCTTTCCCATCAGGATCAACACCTGTTTACAGGACAGGGTGATGTTTCAGGCTGATACTGTCGGCCTGCCACAGATCTAAAGTTAGAGTACCAGGGATCTGCTAAATGTTATGAATGGTGTAGTTTATGAAGCTCACAAAAGGATGAGGACAGTAACTAACATTTACATCGGATCTAATCCAAGATTTGAACTTAGCTTTCAGAGGTTAAAGAACACCATGCTAAGCTCTTGCACCATCTAGACTTTGTTGGGGATGCTTAATAAATAGATGTAGCACTGTGTCATCTGTGTTTTCTGTTAATGGTTACCCAAAGTTTAAATATTAACAGTATTGATAAGGTATTTTCCAAATTAGTGCTGAGGTCTCAAGCTTTGAGACAATCTGTAACATGTACTTTAAGTGCTCTTTTTTGGGGAGGGGTTTGGGAGGCAACATTAGCGATTTGCATCGTAAACCCATAAACCACAAGCAGGAGAAAAACATAGCACTGTCTTAGGGAAGTAATTTCTCTTGTTCTGGCCTTAATGACTAAACATGCAGACAACAGAGCTCCTCAACACTCATATTCACAAGGAATAAATCCAAAGAAAAGTGACAGACTAAGCAGATAATTCTGTCTGCAGATAAGTGTATTTAGAGATGGACTGGACACAAGGAAAACAGTTTCTAGAATACAAAGATTTGTATTTTCCTCATTGTGAACAAGGTATTCAGGATCATGTGTCTGTGGCATACAACACAACTGGTAGCCAAAAGGTAATTTTCCCTTCCCACATTTGGCATGGCTTTCCTATTGAGGGAATTATGAGACCCTGCAAGGTAACTGCTGTCTTGAGGAGATTGTCCTTGCATAAGTCTACTAATTAATTTAAAAACCAACATAATTAAAGACATTAATGTCTGCTTTAATGTAAATGAAAATGTGTCTCAGATGCCAACACATAAAAGGTCACAGAATGACAGAAGAGTTTGAGTTAGAAAGGACCTTCCAAAGGCAAGGACACTTCCTTTAGAAGAGGAGGTCTCTTTTTGTATTAGAAAAGCTGTAATTTAATTTCTAGGATTTGACAAGCAACATATATTTTGCATATTTTGTGAGATGATGAAAAAATAGGTCTAGAATGGGAAAATTATTGAACTAAAACGTTGCCTTTAAGGTTTACACCAATCTTTTTCTGAAGTACCTAGAAGTCTGAAAACTACTTGTCTTCACAGTGTTGGGAAAGACACTCAAGAAACAAATGTACCTGAGAAATCTTCTGGACTAAAAAGCATAGAAACAGTCCTATGGTCATGAGAGCAAGCTAAAACATATGAAAGGCTCCCACAAAATGAAGCAGTCATCTCCGCTGCATGTCATTTGCCAAGAGGGCCACTGGGATGCTGGATTTTGTCATCAGTAGCGTGTCTAGCGGGACCAGGGCAGTGACTGTTCCACCGTGCTGGGCATGGCTGAGGCCACACCTTGAGTCCTGAGTCCAGTTCTGGTCCTCTCAGAGAGGCACTGAGGTGCTGCAGTGTGTCCAGAGAAGGGAACAGAGCTGGGGAAGGGTCTGGAGCACCAGGAGAAGCTGAAGGAGCTGGGGGAGCTCAGCCTGGAGAAAAGGAGGTCAGGAGGGACCTTTTCACTCCCCACAACTCCCTAACAGGAGGGTGCAGCCAGGTGAGGGTCAGGCTCTGCTCCCAGAGAACAAGGGACAGGGAGAGAGGAAATAGCCTAAAGTTGTGCCAGGGGAGGTTCAGATTAGATATCAGGAAAAACTTTTTAATTGAAAGGTTTGTAAAGTACTGGAATGTGCTGCCCAGGGAAGTGGTCGAGTCACCATCCCTGGAGTAGTTAAAAAAACATGTGGAGGTGGCAGTGGAGGACACAGTTTAACGGTGAACAGGGAGGTGGTGCTGGGTTGGTGGTTGAACTTAATAATCCTAAAGGTCTTTTCCAATCTTAACAATTGTACTGTGTCTGCTCTAACATGTAAAAGAAGGAAAAGAAATCATATCCACGGCCAAGAAAATGGGTGATCCTAAACCAGGTGGTGATCGAATTATATTTTCTGTAGTTATATTAGAATTGTCTGGGGAGGAAAAGGAGATAACCATCCAGTGCTAAGAATATAAGATACAGCTAGCAACCATGGCAACTCTAATATTTAACTACATAATCCAGGGTCATTATCTAGTAATAGCAATATAACAAGTGCTCAAAATAACCAGCCATCTCATCCCTTTCACCCAAAGTTAGATACCCAAAACCATCTGTTATGGAAATACGTGTGTGTTTCTGGAACATAAATTAAATTACATTCTGTGCCCTAAATGTGGTGTGTTCTCGCTTCCACACCCTTTTCTTTATTTTCAATCATGTCTCCCATTCCAGAGTGGTTTTTTTCCCTTGTATTACATATTGCTGGCATAAATGTGAAGAGTGTGAGTGAAGACAGCAAAGCTATGATTTAATTAGCAAAAAAATCTACCCAATGTTCTTTCAAATTCTTGCTTCCTTTTTAATTCTTGAGTAACTTCTTTTCCTATCTTTATTTGCTTTGTCCTTTGATTTTCCCTTTTTTGATACTACAACCTCTTTTTCTCTCTCACATTTCCCATTTTCCTGTGAAATACTTGTCATCTTCTCTCCCACTGCCAGCCTAGTACATCCTCCTGCCATCTATATTGCACAAAAGGGAACAAGTAAGTAAGTTTGTTGTCACCCTGATGAAAAGCAACCCTTGTCATTTAGTTTCATTGACTTTTTACTTTGGCCATACTCGATGCTCACATTGCTCATCAAGCTAAGCAGAAGCACAAAAGCCTTTGAAAAGTTGTAAAAGATTCAATATTTTTCACTATTGTTAAAATAATGTTTTACAACTTTCTATGTCTTATAAAACAATATAAAAATATACCTGTATATATTGTTTCATGCATGAAAGGTTACACTGAACTTTGGAGGCTGGAACAACAATTATTTAAAATAGAATTAACTCTATTCCTTTTTTTTTTCCTAAAAAGCTCTAGTACCTGTACAGATATTTGTCAGGTTAACATTATTTCTTCCTCCTAGCCAACAAATAAAAATATTTGCTCAATCCATTTTCTGGTTTTTTCTGTCAGTCATAGCCTCCAGCATCCTGTATGTGCTATCAGCAGGCACCACAGGTGCAGAAACTGCCAGGTGAGACTTGTCATTGGAATGACACAGGTGAATTGATCTGTGGAGAGAAGTTGGGAGCATTGGCAAGGATACCATCCAGCAGCATTTGTGATAGCCTTTGGTAAAAATGTACACTGAAAAACACTATAAAAGCTGTTTGTTCCCATTACAAGGGATGCAACTTGATCAAAATACTATTTGCAACTATATGTTAATACTGTATGCAACACTTAAATACTATTTTTCAAAATAGTATTTAAGAGAAATAGACAGTAGATCGTAGACAATTGGGCATCTTCATTCGCATGCGTTCAAATTCAAATGTAGAAGAAGACACCAACAGCAGGGGTAAATTTTAGAAAATTGCAAACTCCATGTTTTCAATTTGATTGTAATTGATTTTGAGGCTAAAAGCTTGTTCATTTCATCAGACTTTTCAGACAAGTGAAAGCATTCTTCCTTTTTAAAAACGGAATACTCAATACTTCCAGTGATGGGGCAGCCAGGGCTGTCTGGGCAACCATTTCCAATGCCCCAACATCCTCACAGGGAAGAATTTCTCCTTAATAACCAATCCAAACCTACTCTCTATCAGTTTAAAACCATTCTGCCCTATCCTATCTCTACATGCCCTTGTAAATATTCTCTCTCAGGTGCATATATAAGTATATACAAATATAAGAATATACACATGTATTTATTTATATATAAATATATACTTATATATACTTATATGTACACACACAATTCTAAACATGCATGCCACCCCAGCCATTATAATCCACTCTTCATTCAGTATATGCTAGTCCTTAAACTACTTTTAACTCTTGCTGTAAGTGCTGAGAATGTTTTTAGACATAAATCAGTGAACAGGAGAGCAAAACTCCCTTTTACTTCTCACTTATTCCTTTGCCTCCACACTTATACTCCCTTTCTATCTAGTTTTAGATAAAAATCAAGGCTGTCATGTTCAGGTTTGCTTGCTTACATGTGCGTAAAATTACATATGTACTAATAACTTTCTAATCCACCTTTCAATTTCAACCAAACCATGTGGTAAAGAGGTCCCAGTTAGCTTCTGGAGGGTTTAATAAAAACAGACTGCTCCAGAAAGGAAATATACAAAATGCGGTAATGCAAAATGGATAATCTACTTGGAGGAAAAAGTGATAAACAATCCACATCTGGAGAAAAAAATATCCTCAATTTGCACTTGCAGTTTAAACCTCAAAATCAGGCAACCACAGTGAACCAGCTTGTAGGAAATTAAACATCTTTGATCCCTGTGCTGTAGGATCACTTTTTCCGATTAAGACACAGGGGAGGTGTGAAAGGTGCTGCCCTGATATTTGTCATGTTTAGGCATTTCACAGCTATACAGCATGTGAACATAAGGCTACAAATATGCAATTAGAAAAGTACATACAGGTCTCAATAATGTAATTCCATTTGTTGCCTTATACAGCCACTCATAACATATGTTTACTGGGGCATGGAATTCCCAGAACAGGTTCAGCAAAGACAGCAGTGGTGGAAGCTTCCTGACATTGTTCCACTGTTGACATCCACTGGTGGAATGAAGGAAAATGCCAGCCTGAAGCCCTTTAAATCATCCAAGATACGCACCATTGAGAGGCTGACCTCTGGGCTCAGAGGTTGATTAGGATAATTGTGAGTTCAGGTAAATAGTTTTGTGCATGTACCTGCCATTCTCAAGAAGCAAACCATTTCTAATTTAGCTAGTACCACAGACTTATAGATAAAAAAATTGCATTCAAACAGCAATTTTGTTTTATTCCAGAAAGTGCAAAAATATACGTGAATGTCTCATTTTCATGAGCTCCAAGCATTCTTCATAAACACACATAACTGATTCAGGGTTGTGCCAATAATAATAATAATGATGGATTTATATTAGTAGACTCTAACACCGAAATGATTGAAGGCTACCTTTGGTGTTTATGCAATTAAAGTCAAGCACTTAAACAATCATTTAATATTTTATATTGCACTTGGATTTTCAGAGTAGACAAACACACATGATTTCCACAGGATTGATTGCTAAATACATATATAAGCAGCTTGTATCAGACAAACAAATTACAAATTAAAAAAAAAATACTTATCTTCTAATCTCTTTAAAAATACTAATGACTTTTTATTGGCCAAGTTCAATTAATGGTGAATCAAATGCAAATGCTGCAAATGTGAATCAAATGTAAAATGCATCTTCCCATGACACTGGACATAATCTTTTTTAGATTTTGTTCCAGTCTGTCAGCCTCTGAGTGCAACACTGATCCTTCAGTGGAAGGGGGTTTGCAGTGGGAAACTTCAAACAGCTTTGACACTTTAGGCAAAAAGTAACTGTATTGTGCCTATAGCCATCAACCCAGATAAAGACATCTCACTTTCTTACCCTGCATAGTTTGGATTCAGGGAGTTCTTTGACTGTCTTGTAAGACTACAGGATTTCACGTTTCCCTCTTGCTTCTGCAGCTGAAGTTTCCCACGGATGCAAACTTGGCTGACCTGCAGGGTCAGCTGGGTAGAGATTTCACTATTCACCTTATTTCCTTACTCTGAACTTCTTTTTCAGGAAATTTCATTTCTTTTTCCTTTTCTCATGGAAAAGGACGGACAGCCATAGAGTGCACTTTGCCATTTAATAGTCAGGCAAAAGATGACAAGGCTATGAGTACAGGCCATAGACAAGAAAAAAGCCTCCAGCTTATTCACTTTGGGTATGAACACCTGAAATGCCAATGTATATTGAACCAGTGTACACAAAAACAAAGCACCTCACAGAAACAGGTTTACTAGTATTGTCAAGTATTCTAAGCCTAAATGAGAATCCATTTTGTTCTTCATTAAAGCGTGCAATGTTTATTGAAAAAAATAAAATTGAAAAGGAACCTACAACAGATGAACTGGATTGTTATGTGAGTTGGAGGCTGTCAGTGAAGCTTTTAAGGGACACCCACAAAGCTGAACTGTGACAGCCCTTAGTGGCCTCAGCTGATACTGTAGAGCGATGACCAACTTGTGCTCTACATCAGGCAGAGGCATGAAATCATAGGATCCTAGGATGGCTTGTGTTAGAAGGGACCCCCAAGATAATCCAGTTCCAACCCTATGCCACCAGCAGGGGACACCTTCCACTAGGCCAGGTTGCTCCAAGCCCTGTCCAACCTGACCTTGAACACTTCCAGGGATGGGACAGCCACAGCTTCTCTGGGCAACCTGTGCCAGGGCTTCACCACCCTCAGAGGGAAGAATTTCCTCCCAATATTTCATCTATCCCTGTCTTCTGTCAGTTTGAAGCCATTCCCTTGTCTTGTCACTCCAGGCCCTTATAAATAGTCTCTCTCCCTCCTTCTTCCAGGCTTCCTTCAGATACTGGAAGGCCACAATTATAATATATGTATAAATAAGTATATACATATGTAAGCATATAGGTATAGAAAGTCAGAAAATACAAAGTTAAACTTTCATGTTTCAAACAGGGTTTTACAAAGAGAATATAGCACAGTAAATCCTTTAGGAAAGTTACTCACTTTCTTTCTTCCAGCAGAGCAATTTCTTTCTTGACCTCGTGGTACTCTTCTGCTATTTTGCAGTGCTGTTTATACACCTGCATAGATTCCTTAGAGTCATGACAAGGAGGCAGAGGCTTTAAGAAAAAAAAAAAAAAAGAAGAAAAATCCCCATTGTTTTTTGAATGAAATATTAGTTTAAACCCCACATATTTTGAAAGATACAATATTTATCTGAATTCCTGTGAGAATACCTAAAGAATTTTTTTCCCTTAAATAACTGCAGTATATGGCCAACTATTCCTAGTGATGGCCTTTCAAGGAGGGAAAAAGCCCAAAACAGTTCCCTTCATAAGAATATGTGCAAAACTTCAAACATATGTGTAAAACTTCAAACATTGTGAGAATTTTCAGAACTCTCCTTGTCAGCTTTGCAAAATATCCCTGAAGATTTTTCAAAGGAGGATTTCTCCCTTACCTCCCTCTTTTTCAGCTAGAGTGATATGTAAATGCTAAAGCTGATGCATTGATCAGACCTATCACATACATCTTTACACTGCCAGGAACTGACATCATTGCAACAAGATCATCTTTTTTTCAATGCATACTGAATGTAATAAAGCTGTCCTAGGACTCCTTAAGTAAATTTCATCAAAGGTCTTGAAAATACATTTTGGTTAAATGTAGGTGCTTTTTGCTCCTTAAAAAAGAATGCATCTTAATTCAGACTTCAGGTTTGACTGTGACATTTTGGTTATAACACTTTCAGGAAGTATTTTTAAGTTATTAGCCATGAATCTATTGACTGTAAATGAACTCCAAATAGCAAGCTTGAGCCACCTGTTTGAAGTAAAAGGAAACACTTAAAATAGTTAATTTACTGTCCATTTAAATAACATCCAATTGCTTTTCACAATATTAGTAGATTGTTTTGCATTTCTTGCTGTCCTACCTTGACTCTTCTGGGTAGTATAATGTTTCCTTAACGACATTATTAGGAAAAGAAAAGCACAAGTAGTCAGACTTTTCCTATTTATGATCTTGTAATATTTTGTTTAATCTAAACTGAAAATTCAAATTTTACTAAACATGTTAAGAAACAAAGATTAAAAGCATTTTTGTTGAGGCGACAGGGTAAGCTGGCTTCAGACATAACCCAAAGCACAGCTATAAGTAATGTATGGAGCTTGCAAGTACTTGTAGTTGGTATGTGATTCCTCACTGAAATTTTGACACTCATATTCCATATTCTAAATTTAAAACTGCTGCAGCAGAATTGTTTCACAGCACATTGTTTCATTCTCCCTGATCTTGGAGATTTTGGGAACCCAGGGAAAGGGCAGCCCAATACTTGATGAATCTAATCCCTAGAAAAGGGCTTTTAATTGCATTTCAGTGTGGATGAGCAAGAGCACCATTGATATAGCCACCCAAATAATAAGCATAAATTTAGCAAGACTGAATATAGAAGTCTCAGTGCTCTAATCCAAGAATGCATGGATGAGCCAAAGCAGCATCTCTGCTATCTACCAGAGATCAGCTACCAACAACTGTGTCACAATAAAACAATTTTGAACAGTATCAAGGGGAAAGTCCCCAAACAGTGATACTTCAAAAGAAAAACACAACAAAACAAAGCAGAAAAGACCTTGGATTTGCTTTCAATTTAGTTTCCACTAATCTAGCTGGTTTAAACCAGTTTAAAAATTAAAACAGTGCTCAGTTTCTATATTCCAGCTTCCCACTCAAAAGATATATATAGAGAGCTAAAAATTATCTAGTCATGCTGAAACTTAGTATCTAAGGCTCACTTAGAACCAGTTGCTGACTTTTAAAACCCTTCCTATTATTGTTTCCTCTTCAGTGACATTTTATCTTACACTTTTATTTTACCACTTAAATTAACTTAAAACAAATTAAACAATCAGTTTTCTAATTTCTATTCATAAAATTCTTTTCAATTTGTCTGATGGTAGTAAGCACTATATCAAGACTCTTTTAAATTATTGGTGTATATTTCTTTAAAACATAAATGTTACAATGTTTTCAAATGACTAGATAGAATATAATTGGATCATATCATAGAGTGGTTTAGATTGGAAAGGACCTTCAAGAGCATCAAGTTCCAGCCCCTCTGCTATGGGTAGGGACACCTTCCACCAGGCCAGGTTGCTCCAAGCCCTGTCCAACCTGGCCTTGAACATTTCCAGGGATGGGGCAGCCAGAACTGGAGAATTTGGTGTACTCCTCTGTAATTTGGAAACTTCTAAGACAGGCTCCAGAGATATTATCTACAGCATCCATGAGTAGATTCTGGTCAGTAGCATATGAAACTGCATATTTAGCAAACACTTTCTACTGCAATAACATGGTAAAAGGAGAGATACAAATCTCCATTCCACGTGGAAGAACTTTTTTAATGGTCTGTGGCCAGGCAATGGGATGTACTGCAGATACTGCAGTACAGAATGCCCAATGGCATTCCAGGAAGTCTGTATAACATCTTTATGTTAAGGGATTGCTAGTTTACCAAGGTGACTAATTTCAGAAGGCCTTAATAAAGTTCAATTTACAGTATGCTTTTTTTTCCACTCAGAAGTAAACAGCCATACTTTACTTTCCTCTTAGAACAGCCTGATCTTGCTGTACCTTGCCTGTCCATAAATTAATATAAATAAAAGCATACCTGCTAGACAAGCAAAAAACATCCCTGCCACAGTAGGTTACATTTAATGGCAACAGTTTCTACTTTTAATCCTGTTTATTTCAGGCTTCAGTGTCATCCACCCTCATTTTCCTGTGCTGGCAAAATATGCACGTGCAGCATCTCTGATCTTGTTCACAAAGCTAGTACAAAAGCTACAGCTGTAAGTCATACTGGTGGTCTGTCCTATTAAGCCTGATTTTCAACAAGATCTGATTTTTCCATGTATTTTGTTGAGTAACTCACTGTAACATTGAGAAATGTTCTACAGAATTCAGCAAGTAGACACTAAGAGTTCTTTTATAGACCATCCTGTAACTGCACATATATATGTAGATCTTTACAAGACATATGTACTGTTTATTCAGACTTTTGTTCAGAATCCAGACATGAAAGATGTTGGAAGACGACGTGCAAAAGCAGTTCATGAAGAAACAGAAAATCACAGAACTTTTGGGTTGGAAGGGACTTTCTTTCCTTGCAGGAGAGGTGCTCCATGCCTTTAATCATCTGGGTAACCTCCTATCTGCCTGCTTTTTAAGGCAGGCTGAAGAAAGTCTTCTAAGTATAATCTTTGGTGGGGTGACACAGAATGAAAATTTTCAGGTTTGGGCTTTTTTTTTTTTTTTTTTTTGCTTCACTTATATGACAATTTCTTTTGCCTTGCCATATGAAAATCAGCATTCCATATCCACAAAAGCTGTATAGTTGAGAGTGCCAATCAACTGTCAAAAGGTTTAAAAACAGTTGATTTTTAAATTCACCATCATTGCACTTATGTGTTTAACTGTGCAAAAATTAAAACTTTCTCCTGAAAAAGTTGAAGTTTCAAGAAAAAATTGTATCTGGCAGTTTTCCCAGCTCACGTGAACTTGTTTAGAAGTCTTCAGCACTGATCTAATTAAAGAGTGGTATCTTGCTTTTTGTAAATTTGGTAACTTTCAGCTGAACTCTTCTGGAAAAGTGGAAAATCCAATGCTAATATTTTGAATGTGGTCTATGTTCATTATATGGCCTTGTGCACTCTTCTATGATAGAAAAACCCACATTGTGCCAAGAAAAAATAGCACATTACAGCTACTTTTTGTTGTGCAAATGGAACTTTTCCACCAGTTTCAGGTACCCATCTTAGGATACATCTAGTCCTGTCTAGTTTTACTATGAAAGTCAATAGTTCTCTTCCAAACAATTCAGGTCAACTGGATGAGAGCAATTGTGAGTTTTGCTCTCCTTCCTGTGAGATTTTCCATTCTTTTCTAACCTTAGTATGATGCTCTGACTTGGTGAACACGCATACATGTTAACATACATGCATAAAATGGCCTTACATAATTTAAGACCAAAGTTATCACAGCAGCATTACAGGAGACTTATCAAGTTCATTGGCAATCAGATCTAATTATAGAGCAACACAGTCCTCTAGGAATTCTCTTGGAAACCAATACATAGTAAAAAACTTACAGCATCCTCTTTAAAAACAGAGTATGCTTTTAAACTTTCTAAAATTAATTTATGTATCTAACAAAAATCCCGGCATTCAGTAGAAGCAATTAAAGTTCCACAGTAAACAAGGTTTCTGCTAAATACTTATATCACACACTGCTCCTTTCATAACATTTGCATTACTTTTATATGAGCATTTTCTACTAAAGTGAGAAAACTATCCTTTGACTTGAGGTTGGATGTTATAAATGGTTGGAGCTTTTTCTTTGTTGCAGCAATTTTATAGTCATCTAATGACACAGATTTGTAACACAAAATATGACATAAATGTCTCTCAAGCTCACAATTTCATGAGACAAGATCACAGAACCATTGAATTGTTTTGTGTTGGAAAGGACTTTAAAGATCACCTCCTTCCAACCCTCTGCCAGGGACACTTTCCACTAGACTAGGTTGCTCAGAGCCCCATCTAACCTGGTTTTCAAAGATGAAGAACTATAGAACACCCTGTGTATGCATATGTGACTTGTGTTCTTCCCTCTTCAGGATCAAGCTCTCATCTGGAATAAAGGTTTTCATGGGGAACAGAGAGATGAACTGAGCAAGGCACAGGAAGTATTGGAACGGGACAGGCAACACACAGGGCATAGCAGTGCAGGTATGAACACTAGATACCCTCCTCTCCATTCAGTGACCTGATCAACAAGGCCTTGGATGCTGATGTATGTTTCTAAATACAGCAGATCACCCATAGTAAAATTTCTGTCAGAGGGGTCACTGGGCAGCTAATCAAGGAAGTGCCTTCCAAAGACCCATCCAGACAAAGCAAAGGTTAAAGTTTCCCAGTGACAGAGTGACAGGTGTAACCAGCCCACCCTTGCTGCACTGCCCACCACATGGTGCACACACGGAAGCGGGGAAAACCACCAAAGCTCAAATAAACAGGTACTGCTTGTCAGTGGGAAAAGAATAATTTCCAATACTGCAAACAAAAGGAATTGAAAACAAGAAGATTATTAATATGAGTTTTGTTTCACTGATAACTTAGCAGGAGTTATTTTAGTTGTGTGTGTGTGGTTTTGTTGTTTTTTTTTAATAATAAAGCTGCAAATATAGCTTAAACTGATCTGTTCTCATATGAAGGTCTTTCATGTCTGATTGACCACAGACCACATTTAAATTTTGATTTAAAATATTGGAGTTATTTTTTTACAAATTGCTTCTCGGAATGTGTAGAAAACTGTAACATTCAAAAAAGTAATTTGAAAATAAAACATGTTAGTCTGAAGCGAGCTAGTACATCAGAACACACAGACTGATCATTTTTATTCTTAAGAAAGAAGCTGCAGCTAGAACTGTCCTTTAGTAAGAGTCCTTATAGAGAATTAGCTTTTTTGCTAAGTCTCCTAGAAATACCTTCTCTCCAGGCAATTCCACATCCACCTCTGTAGAGCTGGGTGCTTGGACAGCAGGGTTTGTTGCCCTGCCAAGGGAAGGCTGCACTGAACTTTGCCCTGTCATTTGATACTGCTGCCCAGGGAATAGGTATGGAAGAATTGTGGGAGGAAAAGTGGGACCACTAGGTAATTCTGCTCAAATAGCCAAGTTGTCTGCCAAGGCCTAACATAGGAGGACGAGAGCTTGAAGCCCAAAACAGAGGTGCAAATTGCTTGGTACTCAGGCTGTGGTCTGCTGCCTGCATGCATAGAATTCTAAGGCTCTGGTTTTCCAAGTGGCTTGCTGAACTTACATAGCTTTCAAGCTGCTTTCAAAATCCAGCTTAAAGATCAGCTAATTTAGGCTTTTTTTTTTGTTTGTGTGTTTTTAAAACAGGTTTCAAAATTTTCCTTTGTATGCTTGAAATCTGTAAAGTTATTACCTTTTTTTTTTAAGGTGCCTATTACTATATAGCCACATAACCTGCATTTACAGTTTGCTTCTTTAAATAAAATTCAAATATTTTTGACTGTATTTATGGCACACTGATTAAAATCTTGTGGCTCTCAGATATGATATTTTTATTATGAACATATGCACCAGCATTCTTACAAATTCAAGCATTTCAGGCTGCTATTGCCACAGTTGATTAAAAGGTTCATTTACACGACCCTTCATGTGTGTGCTCTGTATTAATGCACTTCAGGACAGAAAAAAACATGGATGGAATGATAAGGGACACCACCATTCACTACTTCTGCAGGTCCTGGTGAAGCCCATTTTACCTGTTTCTGTAATGCAGGAGCTACCTGTTTCAAAGTTGGCATGAATTGCAAGCACATGCCATAGAGTTCTGACAAACCTGCAGCAGTTTGGATTGCAGTGATTGAAAAAAACACAATTAATAAGAAATGTAATAAGGTAAATGATAATTTTGTAACAGCTATTACTTGTTTGAAATTTTAAAGCAGACTAAAAATACTGTAATGACATTAAATAGTTATCACATGAAACTGTGATCCAGATTGACAAAAGCAAGGAAATTCAAGTTTTTATTGCTAAATTTGAATGCAATGTTATCTCTGCATCAGCTCAGAGCCCTGTATTGACTTCACTGCCTTGGATGAACATAAAGGCATTGAAATATAAACATGCACATAAACTTGAAAACAAAATTATTAAGTGCTACCACAAATTTTATACTTTTAAGTGGTTGAGTCAGACAGGTAGCTCTCATAAGTTATCCTTTCAGCTATCCTGATATTACCAAGGGAGATTATGTAGGATAATAAAAAGAAAATTACATTAACCAAAGCCTTTGATTGTTTATTTGAATTTGTTATCATATTGAATTATTCATATTCATGATTATGAGAGTAAAGGAAGGTTTTCTTGAAACAAGTGTCAAGTACTTAACAGGCCAGTTGGGTACACTTAGTGGGATTGTGCTAGAATGTACTTCAAAACTTTTACTGAAGGGCTATTATATATCCGGAACACTTGAATGCTTCCAGAGGAGCATTTTCAGCCTATCATGAAATTCCATATTTAGAGTATATTATAGGTTCCGGAAATGTAAAAGTCATAAAATTCTTAATAAAAAAATCATCACTTGTCCTGCAAAGTAATTATACGTAATGCTAGTAATATTGTTTTTGTGTATCAATAGCAGCAATAATAATCATACTTCAGTCTTTTAGAGCAATCCTTACCTACTGGTCTTAATGCTCTTTAACAAAAAATGTAAAAAATTATTAACTTGATTTCAGAGATGAACAGAGGGATGAAGCAACTCCAGGATTAAGCAATGTGTCAGTGAGAGAGTTGCAAACAAAATGCAGGTTCTTTACTTTCAATTTAGTGCTCCAGCCATGCAACACAATTGCTTTTCTCAAACTGAATTTTTCTAAAGAAAAAAAAACAACCCAATCCTCTTTGTTGCACTGGAAGGTTAGTGGAATAAAGAGGTTAGCATACTACCCGGTTCCTTTTGTCCCAAACCTTAAGGTGTTATTAATTCCTACTTATGCCTAAAGAACCTGCCCATATCCTCAGGATGAGAGGGATAGAGCAAGAAGAGTCTCTGTCATCCTCCATTCCTTTCTCAGTCATCCGTTTGATGAGAGCAGTGGGACAGAAGCCTCACCCTTGAAGTCTGCAGCCATCCCGTGTTGTCTCACAAGATGATGGGTACAGGAAAGATGACATTATTGGTCAATGAGTGGTCTACTAATGCCCTTCTCAATTTACAGTCAGGAAACAACTGCCTTCATAGTGAAATATCAGAGGAAGTCTAAATGCTCCCGGGAAAACAGATAATCTGAAGTAGTCCTCAAAAGCCAGCAAACACTCCAGAACCACCACAGAGGAAAGGGAAATAATCCCTGGATACAGAACTGGCTTTGTGCCTAGAGAGCCATGGAGCTGCCATCAATTACTGGGGGCCCATCATTCTATGCTGACAAATCAGACTGGTCACCAAAGGATTCTCTTGGAATGTGTCTGAGAAAACTGATGGTATCAGTCATAGCACAGCCTGTAGGCATTGGAATGTATAATGTCCCTCTCATTCCTTCTCCCATCAGGTGAACAAGAACTCTCTTCATTGCAGTGCAGCAGGACTACAGGAATTAGATGGAAAATCTTAAAAGCAGGCAAGATTGTTAAAATAGTAATTTCCCTGTGGTTGGACGAAAAATTTTCTGAAGATCTTGAAAAAAACAGTGTTTTCTTCTAGAGATATATATGGTCTTATTAAATATTACTAGGCTAGAAAAGCACCACTAAAAACTTCCACCATAATGTAACAACCAGAGGCTTTTTATAACAACAAATACAGTGAATGTGAAGTAGAACTGTCATAAGAGAAGTTTACCTGCAGCTGCTGATCTAGTTCTGGAAATGCCAAAGAGAAGCTTTCAGGGGAAGCGTCATCTAAAAGGTAAACACAATGTTAAAAGTTATTGTCTACCAAAGAGGGCATTTCAAGTAATCTGTTTAATGAAGTTCTAAATTGCATATATGGACAGTAATATTTGGATCCTGAAAACGCCTCCACATCTTATCTTTTACTCTTGAGATGCCTCAGTAGAATCCTTGAAAATACTAGTGGATTGGTAATAAGAAAAGTTTATGTTGGAAATAGAGAAAGTCTATTTTGCATTGCAGTGATTAAGAAACAAAGCAGTTGGTCCAGTAGAACATATGATAATTTAATAAAACAAATAAATCGAAACTGTTTTTCTTCCTGAATTCTCTCCACTACACTGCTAAGTAAAGGACTGTCTTAAAGGACTTTACCTGTCAATTACAATCCTTATGGGCTAGAGTTAGTTCAATCATGACAACAAACCAAGCTGTGTTTTTATTTATTTGTTAGGGATTTTTTTTTTTGTTTATTTTTAGAACAGGCTTCCAGCAAAGGTGGGACAGATTGCGCCAGTTATGTCAGGGTTGTGATGTGGACACCTGCCCACTAGTAACTGGACTGAGATCAGAAACATGAATCGCACTTGGTAGCGCCAGTGCAATATTTCTTTCTCAGTGACTTTCACACTCTCAGTTTTGCATTGGACTATGATGACTGTTTATTCGTCTTACTACAGGTTATGGGAGGTGAGGAGAGTGTACTATTAGCTTATGTGGTTGGACGAAAAATTTTCTGAAGATCTTGAAAAAAACAGTGTTTTCTTCTAGAGATATTATGGTCTTATTAAATATTACTAGGCTAGAAAAGCACCACTAAAAACTAAAAACTTCCACCATAATGTAACAACCAGAGGCTTTTTATAACAACAAATACAGTGAATGTGAAGTAGAACTGTCATAAGAGAAGTTTACCTGCAGCTGCTGATCTAGTTCTGGAAATGCCAAAGAGAAGCTTTCAGGGGAAGCGTCATCTAAAAGGTAAACACAATGTTAAAAGTTATTGTCTACCAAAGAGGGCATTTCAAGTAATCTGTTTAATGAAGTTCTATATTGCATATATAGACAGTAATATTTGGATCCTGAAAACACCTCCACATCTTATCTTTTACTCTTGAGATGCCTCAGTAGAATCCTTGAAAATACTAGTGGATTGGTAATAAGAAAAGTTTACGTTCTGGAAATAAAGTCTATTTTGCATTGCAGTGATTAAGAAACAAAGCAGTTGGTCCAGTAGAACATATGATAATTTAATAAAACAAATAAATCGAAACTGTTTTTCTTCCTGAATTCTCTCCACTACACTGCTAAGTAAAGGACTGTCTTAAAGGACTTTACCTGTCAATTACAATCCTTATGGGCTAGAGTTAGTTCAATCATGACAACAAACCAAGCTGTGTTTTTATTTATTTGTTAGGGATTTTTTTTTTGTTTATTTTTAGAACAGGCTTCCAGCAAAGGTGGGACAGATTGCGCCAGTTATGTCAGGGTTGTGATGTGGACACCTGCCCACTAGTAACTGGACTGAGATCAGAAACATGAATCGCACTTGGTAGCGCCAGTGCAATATTTCTTTCTCAGTGACTTTCACACTCTCAGTTTTGCATTGGACTATGATGACTGTTTATTCGTCTTACTACAGGTTATGGGAGGTGAGGAGAGTGTACTATTAGCTTACAGTCAGTTATTTGTAATGTGTCAAAATTAAATAAGGATGGCTCTTCCAGGAGAAAATCGCTAACACGGTTCAGATCCTGCAACCTGCTGTGTACTTGTAGACTTGAACACAGCAACAAAACCCCAACAAGATCAAGAAGACCTCATGTCAAAGAAGGATTTTAAAAGAACACAACTGGGATCTAAATTATTTCTCAGATATTTGATATCTCTTTCTCCTGGCCTCTGTGGTTATAAAGCAAAGGAGGTTGGGGGGAAAAGTAAAATAAGTCACCTTAGCCTGTGAAAAATAAGCATACTGGCTAACATATGGCCACAACCTAACTCAATAATACAGCTAGAGCTGGACAGCCTCTGGGAAGAGATGCACAGAGAAGAAAAAAAGTATAGCGATACAAAAGCAAAAACTCTTGAATTTCCTCAGGAAATGAAGTGAAGTTCCTGTATTTTCATAGAGCAGTTGTCTTGCTACATTATCAAAAAGTCATACCCATGTCATGTGAGTGTCCCCCTTCTTTCTTCATACCATATGTCAAGTATGCCCATTCTGGAAAATACTTAAATTGCTTTAATTGCACAGAATTTTATCATGCTAATATGCAAGTGTTTATCTTTAATTTGTATTGCTTTCTTGTACAAGATATAAATAGACTAATATTCTAAAAGAAGAAAGATGAATCATATGGCAAGGCTAAAAGGAAGGACAGAATAAGACTCAGTCTGACTAGGGCTACAGCTGCTCTACAGGTATTTGGCTGAATAGCTGTTAAATATTCTGACAGAGATATTGGACCAGAGTCATGGATGGCAGTTAAACTGCTATTTGTTTTGGCAATTCCAGTAGTACAATCTTTGGTACAGTAGCTTTATTGAGGGATCTTGAACATCTTTAAAATTCAGAAAAACATAGCAAAAGCAACACTCCAAATGATTAAAAAGAATTTGAAGAAACATCAGAGAGTAATTACATTTTCACAGCATCAGCTATTAATAAGAAAATAAAATCAATGCAGTGTCAGAATATTGGAAAATAAATTGGATCATACTCTGAAAGGAACCAGTTAAAAATTTTGGAAGTACTTTATAAAGGATGAAATAGAGAGAGAAATTAATGTAGAGGAAATCCTTTCAATAAACAGATGTTCCCTGCTTATTTTTTGAACTCAAGTGACTGAGTCAATGGTACTAAAAATAGAATGCACTGGTATCCTAACCATCATGACATACCATAGTACATTTTATAATGGGCTTGCCCTAGCATCTATTGAACAGCTGCTAGGGTTTTTTTTTAGTTATACTAGTTTAAGACTTGTTTAGATCATCATCTGATGTGCAGAACATCATTGAGAAATGCTACAGATTTCAGTCTGTAATGTTGAAATTTTGAAATTTGTAGTGTTTCAGTTTTGTAGTTTTTTTCAGTAGTTTTTCAGTTCTGAAATTATCCTGAGTTCCTAATTCTCTTCAGCTCTTCTGATAATTTCAGCTGAAGTATTTAGTTTACAAAAATTAACAGAAATCCTCATAGCTAACTACAGTCTTGTTTTTCACAAGAAGAACAACAAACGGCTTTCCCCACAGCTTTCAGTAAAATAAATTATTGCCCCAGATCAGTATTTCACTGTTGTCAAAGTAACAACCACAACAATAACAATAAAAATCACTTGGTAATAATGAAAACTTAAATTTCACACAAGGGGAAAGCAAATGAAAGCAGTCATTCACCTCCTAAAACTTTTTTGAGGATGTTTTCAGGATGTCAAGAGGAAAGATAGAAACTCTTGCATTTTTTTCTGAAGAATTGCTATTGCCCTTGCCAGCAGAATACCAGTCAAAATCACATTGAGTTCTAGTCTTAAAAATCTACTGACTCTGAAAATCAGATACAAAAACGTCTGAAATGCCAATGAAATTGTTCTGAAGATCAAAACATTCTCAAAACTATCTCCTGATCTGTGTTTGTTATTTTCCACTCTACTTCTCCTTAACTAGAAAACAAAACTCTGAAATACCTATTTTCCCCCCTTTTCTTAATTAACTATCAATTTTTAATGAATATATAGATTATTATAAGGAATCACTTATATAATCAAAGACCTCTTTTGAGTTAGAATTAGTGCCTTTTCTGTACCACAAATTCCTGAAAATATCTAGGCTGATTCTTCACCAGTTACAAACAGCATCTTATCCCTATAGTCACTATAAAGAAACCATAAGGAAAATTATTTATAATTTAAGCTGAATGTTGAAAACTTATTTTGTTTAAAATAAAGACGTATTTAAAAAGCAGAGACAGCAACTCACTGCACCTGAAAATGAATCAAGATTTTGGTCAAAAGAAAACAAGAAAGAAGGAAAAACGTACATGTGCATATTATGGCCATACCAGCAAAGTCAACAGCACTATCCTGTGATGTGAAAGAATGAGATCAGGGATTTCATTACAGGCACCTAAGTTCATGTATCTGTAACATGATTTCTAAATTAGTAGCACTTCCTGATTTCCCATCGATCCCAAATCTAATTTTAAAGTTCTATATTTAAAAGTGCCATAAAGACACATACCCTGATGAAAACCCATGTGTTTTTAACCAAAGACTCAGTTGGTGTGCATGAAATAGTGTGATTTTCATGTTTGTTTCACCAGGTTCATATACGTGCTTGGCTTGCTGCTGAAAACTGTCATTTGTAACAAAGCGTATCTGAACTCTTTGAACACTGATTGTCCTTGTACAAAAAGCTCACTATTAGCCCTGAGGCAGCTGATATATGCCAAAGTTGCACATCTGAGAATGAAGCTTGATTTCTGGAAAGCTTCACTTATTTAATCATGTTCTGGCCTCCTGGAGATTCCAATATCCCAGACCTCCATCATGTAGTCCAATGAGAGAAATCCTTCACGTGTTACTGTCTGACTGACACAGTGTCTGGCACAATGAAGTGTAAAACCCAAATCTTTTCCTATATGGCTGTTCCATTTAACTGAACTGTGAGCTAAAGGCAGTAAATCCTTTAAGAACAACATCTGATTCACTTCCAGTATAATATTGAAAATTGGTTTCTCTGTGATCTTCACTAAGATAGACAGAAATAGAATATAAAAAATTTAAATGTGTTGAAAGCACATTAAGGTTGCTAAATCAAGCACTTGAAACTTAGGAAATGCCAATCACAGCTCTGCTTCCTTGAGTAACTGAGTTATGATCCAGTACTTAATTATACAGTCAGGTCCTATTTTTTTTTCTCCTACATGTGTGGGCCAATGTATTCAGATCGCTTCCTTCTAAATTAAAGAATTAAATTGGTAACATAAGTAGGCTGCTATCCTGTAAGTGGATCAGCACTTGCACAGGAAAAGTGCTCAAACTGAACTGCAAGCACCACAACTTGCACCAACAACAGTGGCAAAGTGCCTGTCAGGGTCCAGTCTTGGCCCTGGGAGGGCTGTGAGATCCAGCAGCTCTGGGCCTGGATACTGACAGACAAGCATAGACTCATCAGATTCATCCTGGAAGGCTCTGTGGCTAAGTGACTGCAACTTGGCACTGCTTTGTGGAGCTCCAGGGTTTCTATTCACAGCCCTGCCTGACACGACCTTACACAACCTCGCAGTTACCTCACTCGTAAAATAGTGGGGAACGGCCACTGCCCCACCCAGGAATAGGATGTGAGGGCTTGCTCAATAATAAGAGTTGTGGATCTCCCAAAAATAGAAGCAGTCCATAATGGAAGAGGTAAGAGCAAAATCTTTCTACTTCATATACCTTCACTCAAACCTAAGCATCCTCAGATGAATGTCCCTTTGAGGCTATCTCACCTGATCTGCCATCTTAATTCCCCAAGAACCGAGCCCTGTAGGTTGGGTGTAGATTTAGGAAATTAGCTCTATAAATTTTAGCCATATATTTTAGCAATCCTCACTGGCTGTCAGTCAATGTGCTGGAAAACCTCTGGAGCCGTCACAAGCAATATGAGGGTGGGGTAGCAATTTGAAGGTTGCCTTTGAAGAAGCAACCACTGCAAAACAGTCTAGCATGATAAACGAGAAAAGCAAAAAACTCCTTGTAGTTACTAGGATAATGAGCATAAAGAAGAGTAAAATAAGTAATTTTGCTATGCTTGCAAAAATATGACACTGTTCCACTGTCAGGTTCATTAGAAGATGTATGTTTTGCCTTTGTTGTCAGTGATTTTTCTGTAAAGTGCTGTCAGAGGTATACTAATTTCAAATTAAAGAACTCACTAACAATTTCAGACCAATTATCACCACATATCATAAGCAGAACTTTTCAGCTAGATTCAAGCTTTTATTTGAGGAGACAAGGTGAAGAGAGATGAACCTATAAACCTTCCCTTTGAACTATTACCCAAAACAAATCCAGCTGTCTAAATTCCATGAAGTTCATGTATTTTTAAGATTGATAAAAATTAGGACATACTGAATTTCACCGGTAGCATTAAATTGATTCTGACAAACCACAATGAATTTTCAACTTTGGAACACTTATTTGAATCTTGGAACACTACATTCAGTTCAAGCTGCATTAGTTTCCAAGTGGTGTAAGGTAGGCTGAAATAGTATGTTTCCAATTCATTACTTTAAAATGGTACCTTAAGTCAAACTGCTGTGATACAGAGCACAGACACACCCTGGGAAATGTGTGTTAGTGAACTTGAGTGAAAGGGCCAAACATAGACATTTATATATACAGGAATAGGAGATACACAATAAAACTGTCTTCTTATATAGCATCCTCTGATGGGCTGCTCCTGAGACTTTTAAGGAACTGATTACTATCACATTAAAAATACCTCACAAAGCTGGCCAGAATTTCAGTCATCAGGTGTTGACTGACAAATAATGTAAGACACATTATTTCTTGTACACTCAGGATAGGCCAGCTCTGGTTTTGTAGGTCAGTTAACACAAAGTAATTTCTTCTCATAAGCTGAGAGTAGTTTTTCCTTTCACTGCTCCTCACACCCACTGCTTGGTTACAATCCTAGCCAGTGAGATAATCGCCACCCAGAAGAAACATTCCATTTCCTCTTTTTATATCCAGTTATGCTGTCAGTTCCTCCTAGTAAGCGGTAGCACAGCCCCCGGAAGGAGAATGCAGCCTTTCTTGGCGAAATGTGTCACTGTGCCTTTCAAGTGAGGTAGAATTTAAGGAAAAGCTTAAGTAAGAGAGATTTCCTCACCACTTAGCCCTTGCCAAGAACTTATTGTATCCTAGCAGTGCATGAGCTTCAGCTGATGCTTTGCTATCACATATCAGGTAACTCCTGTTTGAACTGAAAACAAATATCCTCATCAAGGAGACAAAAAAGGTGAAAAAAATATAAAAGAGTAAGGGGAAAAAAAAGCACCTACTACGGAATACCTAAAGATCTATCTTTTGAATGTTTTTGTAGATCATCTTAAAAACAACGTGTTAAATACTTGTTTGTACTCTCTTGTTTCAATTATGGTTTGCTGGAAATTTTCACACCTATTAAAAGCTTATTTCCTTTGCCTTCTTGAAATACACCTAACATAAAAGCACTTGAAATTCTTATGGTATGGTAAAACAATAATGTTGGTTTAGACCTCCTGGTAGGCCCCAAATGGAAGTGATGCAGAGGGGAACATGGCACTCACTCTAGTGGTTGCTGGTTTTTTTTTTTATCAGTACTCATGAAGATTCTGGATTGCATACTGTAGGAACATTTGTATATCTACAATAAAGGATTCAACATTTTAATAATTTTAACATTTGGAACAATTTAACAATATGTAGAAGAAGAAGATTACCTTTCTCTAATTGAGTTTATTTTTGTAAACATTAAGAAAGAGGCTGGAACTATTAGCAGGATAAAAAAGTAGAAAATAAAATATGATGCAATGTTAAGGAATTTAGGCTTCCTGCCTTTCATGTCCCCTTCTTGCAAGCTATTCACAACCTTGTCATTTCCTACTGCCGTCTCTTGTCACAAACCACTCTGCTCTCTTTGATTTTCCCATGGTCTCAGCTTTCCCTGACTTGTTTTCAGTGTCTCACATTAGCATTCTTTTTTTCATAATTCGTAAGAGCACTCTCCTTTCTTTTACATCTTTCTTCAAGCCCTATCTATGCCATAATTCCTGCAAGAAGTTTACTGTATCTTGAGAGATGTGAATGATTCCTTACTGCTCTCTGTAATAAAAATGTAATTACCAGGTTATTTTAATTTATTAAAAAGGGCACATAGATTATCACATGTTTCTTTTTATTCCTTGTTCCAATCTTTCTTTGTCACTCATCATTATGAACTGAAAGTTAGGTTCAATAACATATGAAGATGTTTGGTTTTTAATTCCCTTGGCTAGGGGATGAGATTGTATTTCAGTATTGTCGTTGAAAATTAGTAGTATGCAACAATTAGCTAGGAAAGATAATGCATATTCTAAAATATTTCTAAAACAGAAAATTGCATTCAAGCTGAGATTCTGTTTACACAAACCTCAGGCACCAACCATCACATTGTCCTACAATGCAAAGAGTCCCATAAAGCTGATAGGGTTTCAGTTGTCCTTATACCTCATGCCATAAACACATCTCAGCCCTGACTGCAGGCATTCACCTTTAGCAAAAGCAACAACAAACTTTTTTTGGGTGCTTTTAAGCTTCCCCTTTCATTTATTTAACAGCTCTCTAGTCCTTAATAATATTGAAGGTGCAAACCAATAATATTTATCTACTCCAAAGGGTCCATGTGTGTACAGGGTATGTTTGGGGAAATTAATACTCCCTCAGCATGAGCTGATAGGATAAACATCAATGAAATTTCTGCTGCTGAGAGAACGTGCCATGTGGGGCACCTGTTTCCTGAAACCTTTCACCAAGCTGGGCATGTGTGGCACTTTCCAACCTTCCCCCTATAAAAAGTCTCTTCCTCCTCTAGGCTCAGGCAAATTTGTCCTTTTACTTTTCCTGTTTTACAATTCCACAAAATCAGATGTACTGCACATGCAGGTAAATTTGATAGTTAATTACAGACCTAATTGCATTCCACAAACCACTGAAAGAAAGTAAAGATAGAAACTGTCAATCTAGAGAATTTAGTCTAATGAAATTTTTAATGGAAACATTAAAAGTTATCAGACAGGAAAACTGACCACAAGCTACCACTCATGAAAAAAAATCCATCCATTACACTGGACTACATTTGATATTGTAAACACTGGAAAGTTAATGTAAAATTTAAAAGCAGTTGTGGTTTAAATTTAAAAGCATTGTGTTTTATTCCATAAATTAAACTGTACCTGGGGAATCATTAAGGCTGAAGGCAATTCGTACCGGCTTATCAGCAGGTACCCTGGCGGTGGTGATCATGTGGGCACTTGAGTCAATGCTTTTACTTGTTTGCTCCAGCTGCAATAATACAAAAAATATATTTATTACAGAGCATGTGACATCATTCAACAAATGAGTTATAATGCTTTTCATGCACTCACAGCTGCCTTTCCCATCCTAGCTAGATGCTTAGAATCAAAGTCAAGGGAGCGCCATTTCACTTTTCCATTTAACAAGAATTTAAGTGCAATTCAGTGCAGAATCAGACTGCTTTTATTTTTGCTATTTATAGATTACAAAGAACGATGGCAAAGGAAGCTGTCTCTCTTCTCACCTGCTTGCTCCCCGCCATTGCCCCTTCAGCAAGCCTTGACTCGTGGCAATACTGCCTGGTTCTGAAGGTGAAGAAGGAAGAAGGGGTGGGGAGTTGAGAGTAACATGACCCCAAGGCTGCTCTGTGATTGGAACCGTGCACACCACTCCACATGGTGTCAATGAGGAGGCACTCATCCTCCTACCTTCCACCCATACTCCCCCAGTCCAACTGTGCCTGCAAGTCACACACTTCATGACCAAAAATTCATGGGGTCTCCAAACCTTGGTGGTGATTCTTCAGTAGAAGCCTGTGGAGGTGTAGGGGTCTGTCTGCATGGATTTAGCTCCTGGGTTAGGACCTTACTCAGTCCTCTGTTTTTCTTCTGAGACCATCGATTCCAAAACGTGATTTTACCGTGATGAAACCCTGTCCATTAAGAAAACTCCTAGTTCATTTCAAATATGGCACTAAAGAACTGTTGAGCAATAAAAGAATGAGCTACTTTTGATCTCTAACAGAGTAATTAAAACATCTCTGTGCCCTGAGAAGTTGTACTCTGAGCTCTACTATGTACATTTAACCTTTTGAATGAACAGTTTTGGTTAAACTCTATTGAGTAGCTGAATGCAAATAATCCCCTTGATTATCTAGCACAAAGCTGCTAAAATTCAAAGATATTAATCTTCTGATTAGCACCATGTGTGGAGAATGTAAAGTCAGTGGGACTTTGTGCATGCAAAGATCTGCCCATAAAGAAATTATTTTAGGACTCCGGACTGCTATCCAGCACACATTGTATTCATACCAAGTATGTGGACAATTATGCTTTCAAATTACCATAAAAACTTCTTAGGGAATTAGAAACCAAATTCATCAGGAAAATACAATGAATTTACTAACTCATTGTCAGCAGACAACAAAGCTTTTAGCTGGTGAAAACAAGAGCCAGTTTCCTAAGCCAATAGTCTTGCAGTTTTACAGTAAAATAGCTATTGTACTGCATGAAAATTCCACCAAGTCATTCTAATTCATACCGAATTATTTTGCAGCCTCAAAAAGTCAATAGAACAGAACACTGTTTCAGGAATATAATCCTCCTTGGTGGTATACAAATGAATCAAACACTTCCCTGGCATCAATGCCATGCAATCAGTGGAAGAGGATAAAATTTGCATTGGATCCATTAATTTCAGCATTTCTTGTTTATTCACTTTGTCACTCTTTATATTTAGCTCGCAGAGTGATATGGTTACTTGTTATTAGAAGTTCATAATCTTTTCTTACAATAACAACAAATAATATAAAATCCTTACTTTGAATAAATTTTATTTGAAGCTGAAAGTGTCTCTTTCTGCTAGTATATGAAGGATATCAGTGATTGCTCTTAATTTCCCATTACTCTTATTCAAGACCCACAAAAATGTATCTGTTATCTGTGGAGCAGAAGCAAAGAAAAGCCAAATAAATTGCAGCCATGTATGTTTTAGATTCAGAAAAAGACCCTTGGAGTCAACTGAAATATTTTATTTTGAAGTGCATTGCATCAGATTAAATAATTTTTACCTTCTGAGCATTCCTGATCTCTTCCCCACCCTGACTTCGTAAGAAGCATCTGAGTCATCTCATTGTTTTTAAAATACAAAAGAATTACCAATGCAAAATTCTTAAACATATTTCACTTCCTTACTTCCCAATACAAAGTAAAGAAAAAAACCTCTCCAAATGAAGAGATTTTAAGTGATAAGCAAATCCTTAAACCAAGGCTTTTCATTGTTCTATGCTGTTTGCACACTTTCTCTGACACTGACTATCTCAAGTGGAGTTTTTTGAATTGCCATAACAATACTGCTACAAGGCTGTTTTTTCATTCCAATCACATACTCTGTGGTGTGCAATGTTTTTAAATTAACTCTTTTAACCATCTACTACTCTGTGAGGGCAGAGTGAGGGCAAATATCAATACCCTTTCAGTAAGAAATGCTGAATTCTATTGAAACACAAAAGAAAGTTTTCATTTTATTCTAATTCAGAAAAAAAAAAAAGACATCTCATCCTTATACACAGCATTTACTCTGTTATCAATTTTTTATATTGCATTTATCCCTTCTCTCCTTTTTTTGCGAAATCCTCAAGCTCTTCATCACAAAAAGCAATCACAGAGAACAGAGAGGGACGGAAAAAGCCTGTGTGCAAACAGGGTGATATTATGAAACATGCAGACCAACTACCCCTAATTCCCCACATGCTTTCTCCATGAATGAAGAACAGTGTCTCTGTAGACAGAGATGAGAGTGAGTGGGCAACCTGGAACTTAATCAGATTTAATGAGCAGCTCTCATCTTCCCAACAATTGCCTATAGAGCTGGCTGGCTGCTGTTCCTCTGTAAAAAACCTGCAGCAGAACTCAGATTAAATGCTGTTACAGCTCTATGGATTTTTTTCACACCTGTTGCCTTACCTCACTTAGCGGAGTGTCTGCACTTGTGTAATCCAGGGCCAGCCACTGCCTTGGCTTGTCGTTGCCTTTATGGAGTAAAGCTTCAATAAAAGAAAAGGCTGCACCTGCTGCATAGCAACAAACTGACAAGGTCTGAGAAGCTGAGACAGCTGTCAGGGCAACATGCTGCTACCTGCACTTCCCATAGGCTTTGCTGTCCCAAAAGATAACCCTTTTCCACAATTCTGATTTTCCTTCCTCTCCTTGCCAGGGATGAGGAGTTAGGATGCTGTCACACTTCAGGGAGGAAAAAATCCTTCTGTTACAGGCATTATTAAACAGCAAACTGTGGTGAGCCCAAGATATTTAATTCATTAGTCCTGGCAAACCTGAAATACAAACAGACTTGCTTCATAGGACAGGAATGTTTTCAGCATGACCCAATCAGTGTCTGTGTCTATTCCAGCAAACTGGCAAAGATAGCATGACTCCAGTCAGCAAAAATGTCTGCAGCTCCAATCAGCTTGGGCTGACACTGCCAACTTGGACCGGCTACAAGCACACTCTCAAATGATAGCAGTGACTATCAAAGCTAAGAACAACTGATGGACTTGGCCTCTTAGGCTTCCGTTCATGTTGGCTTTGACTAAGCCAGGTTTGTTTAAGAGAAGCCACTAGCCCTTCTCTTCTGAGGAGATAACAGCAAATCTCAGAATGCTATAAAAAGCAGATATAAAAGCAGATGTATTTATAGACCAGCCGGTGATGGCAGTGATAAATGAAGCTGACTCAGAGATTTGACTGAACTCAGAGGATTTCCTAGTGTGATTTCAGATAGCTTTTTTTTTTTTTTTTTAAACTACTGGCAAGAAATTTAAGAGATAAATCTTGAAGTATTACAAGAGATTAATTTCTTCAGTTTAAAGTTTTATTTTCTGTGGTCAGAAAATAAAAGTTTAATCCCTGTCATGCACATGTACTACCTACATGACTTCTTTGATTGAGTGCTACCACTGTCATGGGAACAAGTGGAAAAAAATGAAGAACAATTACAGAATGATTTTACAGAATATCTTTATTGTTTTGTGCTTGAAAAGGGGGTCTCCTTCAAAATGTATGTGAAGGTATATTTCATCTTTAAATTCCTAATGGAAAGAGCTTATCTAACCCAGATCTATATAGATACATTCCTAGATTCCCTTGGCTGAGCTGACATATAGAAAGGTTGCTGGACAAATAAATACATGAAGGGCTAAAGTAAAATTTTCATCCTTCCTCACTCTCCCACCTTTTGTCCCTAGACCAGGACTGATCTCACCAGGGTAAAACTCTGGAAGCTGACAGTTGTGGTCTCAAAAGACCTTTTTTATACTTCCAAATTACTGAACTGCAAAAATATCCTACCCACACTACCTTTACTCCAGGAATGACCTGGGAAGGCATTGGACAGCTACACCATTAGTTAGGTATCTCTTGAGGCTGTCTTTAACTGCAGTGGGATTTCAGAGCTCTGGCCCACAGAGCTGGTGGAAAGGTGGACTGCACCTATGACTACACTGACCATTTTCTATTCTCTCAATGTGTTTCTGAAAAGATTGAGGGCTCCTCCCTACATGTCTCCTTTGGAAGGGGCAGAAGACAGATTTGCCTCTGATCACAACCATTACAGCAAATAACATTCTACAACTCAATATTATCAGCTCATTATTATTGATGTCCAGCTGCACATCCAAATACTGTGAAAGTATTGGAAGATACAGAAAATCCTGGCTCCAATGGAGTCACAGAAAATATTCTGCATCAGTTTTCATGGAGCCAGAGTTTTCCCCAGATCAGAAGATATTGCTTTGTATGGACAAACGGTACTCAGATGGTATTCATACTTTTGTTACATGCCATTACAGTAAAGACTAAGAAAGGCTTTCTACATGAAATCTTAAGACAGGCAAAACTTCCAGTGACTTCCATGACAGCAAGGGTCTTGGACATAAATGATGCCTGAAAAGGGCAGGGTGCTTTTTTCCAGATGGCTCTGACACTCCACATTTCCACACTGACACTTCAGTTGCACTCACTTTAAATAGCATGTGCACTTGCAAATTAAGTAGATCGTAATTTTATGTGTTGTAGCCACTATATCCACGTTTTTTTTGAATTTCACTGTTTCCAGTTAAATCTGTATTGTTCACAGACTCATGGAATCACAGAGCTTTTAGGCTTGCAAGGGACCTCTGGAGATCACCCCGTCCAACCCCTCCTGCCAAGGCACGGTCACCTGGAGCAGGTGACACAGGAATGGGTTTGGAATGTCTCCAGAGAGGGTAACTTCACAAGACTCCTGGGCTCCCTGTTCCAGTGCTCTGCCTCACTCCATGGAACAAGTTCTTCCTCATGTTTGGGTAAAACTTCTTGTGCAGTTTATGGCCATTGCTCCTTGTCCTGTCACTGGGCACCACTGACAAGAGCCTGGCACCATCTTCTTGTCACCCTCCCTGGAAATATTGTATGGATTATTGAGATACCTCATCTCATCTCAGTCTGCTCCAGACTAAACAGGCCCAGCTCCCACAGTCTCTCCTCATAAGAGATGCTCCAGAATCCTCACCATCTTTGTGGCTTTTGCTGGACCATCTCCAGAAGCTCCATGTCTTTCTTGTCCTGAGGAGCCCAGAACTGGACACAGTTACACTGTGTGAAGCTTCTGTGAAGTGTGCTGCCTCTGAACTATGGGCTAAGATCCAAAACGGCACAAACCAAAAGGCCCCGATTTGCATTTAAATATCAGCTCTGTGCTATACACAATGATTAGTCACCTGAAACTAGTGCTTTATGGGAGGTGGCATATTTTTAAAATGTGAGACTGTTATAGCATTCTACATACAGAAGATCAAATCTTAAGCATCAGAATGAATGATTTGACTGTAATTGCTTTATCAACTATCTATTCTTGGGATGATTATGCTAAAACTCTCAACAACATGGACTCAAACAGCATATTTTAAAAAGTTCTTTAAATTACTTTATAAGAGTAAACTAGGGAAGATCTCAATTTTAAACAATGGGGAAATTGAAGTCTAGGATGCTGCACTTTGTTGACTCGCTCAATTTAATTGTCCGAGGCATTTGGGTAGAGATAAATCTCACAATTCTTACTTACTAAGGAGGTGATTAAAATAATTGCACCAAAACAAATTACTCTCCAATTTCTTGCAACACAAAAAATACTTCTTCCTGACAGACTGCACATACACCTTACACTCATCTCTGTGAAAATTACAGAATGCTGATAACTCCAGGGTGTTTTTTATGTTAGTTTTTTTGTTTGTTTGTTTTTGTGTGTAGCAGCACAGCCTGCCCTGTTCCTTTTTCAGAATACTCTTAGTAATCAGGTTCCTGGTATCTAACCAAAATTATTTTGGTCCTACATCACATTATGAAAGTGGTGATGTGCTAGAAGAGGATATCACATTTTATTAGTCAAAAACACCTTAAAGGAATATACTCTAAATTAGGAAAACTGGGACTTACTGATATTCAGTAGTGGAAACATGCAAATTTTGAAAGTTTTAGGATGAAGTAGCAGTTATCCTACAGATGTTTAAGAAGCCAATATCTGCAATCTAATAAAACACCTGTTGCCTTCACTTTTTAGCTGTGCTACTTTCAATTCATCTCGGCATCCTAGTATAAGTAGCATTTTAGTAGCATATGACCTCATTCATGCTAAAATGGTGTTTTGCATATTGCCAGTCACTATTTAAAAACACACTTTAAATATTCTAGCATAAGGAAGATGTTCCAAGAAGAAATCAACTAAAAAATATACATATATTGCCTGAAATTACACAAAGAGCAAAATAACTCACAATCCAACATCCCATATCCTGACAACTGGAGCAACTAACAGAGTATTTCCTTAGTGTTCTTGGGTATTACCTCTGGTCTCCTTGCCTAGGTAGTTTTTTAACACAGGTAAAATCATGTACTTTCACCAAAGTTCTACTCATGAATGGCTGACCCCCACTAGATTAAATGAAATCATTAACACCAGCAGGAAAATACATTGTGCACTGACTTACAAAAGAGGACATAAGCAAATTTATAATTAATGACAAACTGATATGCAATAGCTGAATTCATTTACATAGGATCACACAGGTTTAATAAAGGAGATCATTGCTGAGAAATTAAAGATTGGCTTAATCATGGTAATGTGCATCTACAGGATTATTTGAAAACCTGATTGGTGAAAAACTCCATCACTTCCACAGCAAACTCCAGGCGGAAACTGTGAAAAGCTAATTCTGCTGAAAGAAAACTGAAGCCTTTGAGATATGATGCTGCCAAAGATCCTTGTGAAACTCTGCATAGAAAACAAGATGAAAGTTGAAGTTAGAAATATTACTGGAAAAGCTTCACTATTGTCAGAAATCAACAGGTGCAAATTTACACACTTTATTCACATCAGCATAGAGATGAAAATAACCTTTAGAAGCTAATTATGGGAAGAATGATGGTGGGTCATCTCAGCAGGGAATGCTGAAGGAGGACACAGTTAGACAGTGTGCAGCAATTCACTGGGAGATCAACAGCTGAATGTTCAAAGGCAGCATTGGCTAGCACTGGCTAACTGGAAACACCAGCATTTAAACAAAACTGTATCCATTTTGCTTACCAATTGTGCAGCTAAATTACATTCAGCTTGGTCCTAGATGAGAAAGATGGTTCTCCCACGTCCATGGATTAAATGGATGAATCACTCCCTTGCAACTGGACTTGCTGATCCTGAAGGAAATGCTTAGCTTACCTCATTTAGGAGCTCACCTGAAGAGGACACTACAAGATATTACAGCCTCACTTGTTGATGATGGCTGAGGTCATCATACGATCATGGGTACATGCACAAGACTTTCAAGGCAGCACACTCTTTCATGAAGCTTTGCTGCTCTGAGGAAGAAACCAGCATGCAGAAGAATGTGACAAAATCCCAAACAGCAGCTGGTTTGGCAATACTTGCCCCCTCAGTACTGATTTAGCACTGAAACTGCCTTCCATAATACTGGAAAAACGGGCCAA